TGCGTGCCTGTGTCGAAGTGTTGAGTTTCTGTCACGACCTCTGCAGGTATTGTAGATCTGAAGATCGACCCCAGTTGATGCTTTTAGCTGGCAGACAGATAGTCAGTGATACCTATACTAGTACGACGAGTTCCACTGATGGCGGATGATCAATGAGAAAGTGGTTTGTGGTCTGATCAGTCATACCTCTAAGCAATCTTTTTGAGTGACGAGACGCCTAAAGACCCCTGATAATAATAATATGTATCTGGTCAAACTAGTTTAAAACAAAAAAAAAAAAAGTCCTTTACATTTCAGTTTAGTTTCTTAAAGAGTTGCTGAAAGGTTTACATGGTTAGTTTTTTGTATCAACGTTGAGGAACTGGTCGTGTTTTTTCCCCCGTGTCTATTAATTTGTGTATTTGATTAGTGTTACTATAGTTTGACCACATTGAGCTGATCCAAACAGAGAAGGACTGATTGACCAACTCGGGGAAAAAATGTTACTGTTTATATTTGCAGTTTCACCTCATCACCATGACTTGCCTTAATTATGGGTGTGCCACCTGGAAGTAAAAAATCAGTTGTAAATATAGATGGAAAATACTCTCATTCTGCTATAAGGAAATTAAGCGATGTATAAACTGATAGACAGAAATGGTTTCTTCAATCTGTAATTATGGCTGGTCACGATCAATAAATAAATAAATAAAAGTAATAACTTCAGTTCATTACACTCTGTGGAAACTGAACAAATATTTGTGTGCCTTTTGTCTTTTTCAGGCAGCAGTCCACATGTGTATTTCATCCTGAATGCTGGCCCAGGAGGTGCACACCACAGCATGCTGTTGTGAAGCTGGAACATATTAGGTATGTAACAAGAGCAAACAGAGGAAGGAGCTTGTGTCACCAGTTTGTCGCTTATGCAAAACCTGGAGAAGTTGCATTCCACTTCTTGGTTTTGGCTGATGAAAAGCCCTCTAGCGAGATTCAGATCAGCAGAGAATATTTGCTTGATTCACTTGCAAGCTGGTTTAATTTATGGTATTTTCAATTGTTAATAGCGAATCTGACCTGCAATATTGAATTCTAATGGTGTATGTAAAATGTGACAGTGAGTTGTAATATAACTAAGTAAATCTTTTTTTTTCATATAATTTCCTTTCTTGCTTAGCGTGTTGGGGATATAACAAACCTCAGATTTTAGAGGGGATGAGTAACAAAAAAGAAATGGAAAGAGCAGGGGGAAATCTTTGGATCATGAACAAAAATTAAACTCAATAATTCAATCAGATAATGTCTGATTTTAACACGATTAACTTTTTTAAACGGGCATTAACTGCTGCACATGGATATCATGGTAGAGGAAGATGGAACCACGAGATGATATTGTCGGCGTTTGCATCGTGATCTTGGTTTCTGTTTTGGTGGAACTGCTACATCCCTGTTGGCATGCGATGACTCAAGACTAGTGTGAGTCCCATAAAGTGATCTGAGCAGGATAGCGTTTGGGTGCTGTTTCTGGTTACAAAGATAGGAAAAGGAGGAGAGAGGACAGTTGGTGGCTGTAGTGTTGTGCCCTCTGACTGGGAAGGGCAGACAGCTGGACAAGCAGCAGCTGCGGCTTTAATGGACCTCCTCTTTATTGACAATGGAAAAATCAATACTCCTTAAACTAGCAAGAGCATTTTTTTGTCCTCTTTAGAATGGTGATTTTCTTTTTTGTTTGTTTTTATTTAGTTTAACAGTCTACTGGCAATGCTGTCTGTCTTTACCTGGCCTGTGGTCCTAATGGCATCAGCTTTGTGGATATTAAACTTCAGCGTGACTTCTTAACATACAAATGCAATGTTGCCAGTGGTATTGGGAATATGCAATGAGTGAATGAGTTATTCTTTTAGCAAGTCTAGCTGACTGCTGGTGATTGAGCAGCTTTTCCTCAGTATATTCATCAACTGGCACAAACAGTTTTTCCTGTCATTGTAATTAATTGAAGTGAAGCATGTATATGAGCTAGACAGTCGGTCACTATCAGTTTCTGGGCTGACTTTTTCAGTTCCTGTTATACCCATTAAAACTGGGTGCGAAACAGTAGCTCAGCTTTGCTATATGAAATATTGCAGTCTGTCTATACGAAGGAAGTGCAAAATTCAGCGACACACACAGTCATCTCATAACTGAAGCTTTATTTGTGGTTTATTGTTTTTGTTCCGTGCCTCACACTCGGGTCGCTTGATAACAAACTTCCTTTGTTTTAAGATAGTTTTTATATATAAACAAGGTTTAAAAACATGGAGAATTTTATTAACCTAAGACATCCTGTATTTTGTTATTTTGCATGATATAGAAAAAAAAAATGCACTGCTGTGGTTTATTTGGAGGGTTACAATATGCACAGAGTGGTCTCATTAGATTAGACCAGAGATGCCAAACTCATGTTACATCCCGGGCCACGTACAGCTCTCTTTGATCTTATAGTGGGCCGCACCAGTGAAACTCTCCTTTTTGTCAGTGTAAATAATAGGACTGCCACGATTAGTCGACTAGTCATGATTACGTCGACTATCAAAATTGTCGACTACAAATTTAATAGTCGACGCGTAGTTTAAAGCCTTGTAAGATCCTGAAAGTATCTTACGTGTATCTTAAGTGTATGGTTGTGTGTGTGTGTGTGTGACAAATAAAATTTGAATTTGAATTTGAAAGACGCAGGAATAAGTAGTAGGATTTAAGAGTGTAATAACGGACTGAAACAGAAAATGACAGCACTGCATGTACAAGGATGCCAGCTGCCGTTAAACCTCCAAGAAGAAGAAGCAGGCTCCGATATCGTAGCCGTGTCCAAATTCAGGAACCGCATCCTCTTGTGCCCGCATTTGAAGGCCGATTACGTTACACCGACGCGACAAAGGCTTTCCAAATTTGAAGACTTCTGCAAATGCAGCCGACAAATGTGTTCTACTTTTCCCCAGATTTGAAGGATGGGTCGGGCGTATGGCCCAACCTATCCCAGAATTCATAGCACGGCTCAGCATATTCCTGTTTCCAACAATGGCGGCAGCTACTTAGTTTTAATATTACTCTTATTATTCTTTCTGGGTCACAAAATAAACTTT